TCTCCTCTGACCTTCCTGCATTGTCTCACGTGGACCCTTGGGGGACACCTCACTCCAAACCCTAGCACAGGGACATCTGCCAAGCATGGGGGCCCATGGAGCACCCTAGACACCAGAGCAGCTAGGCAGATGCGGCCCGTGTCCCACGGCACCTCCCAGAGGGGGTGTCTGGTGTCTCTGGAGGCGAGGTTCTGTCCGGAGCCAGGGTATTTGGAGTCACTACTCAGTGCCCTCCGCTCCGTAGGTCCTGCCTCTTGTCTCCTCTGATGTTTTGGGAGATCCTGTGGCTCTGGTGTGTCCGGGTGGCCTCCCCCGGTGGGGACAGGAACCCTAGCAGAGGGCGCCGGGAGGGCCTAGGCTCTGTGTTGATGTGACGCTGACTCGTGGCTGAGGCGGTGGTGGCCACAGACCTCCCAGGATGCAAGGCTACAGCTGGGGTGCCACCAGAGCCACACGCCCCTTGCCACCCTGCAGCAGGGTGCCCGTCGTCTCTTCTAGGTCTCCTCCCCTTCCTTTGCTGCCTTTGACTTCAGTGCAGGGTGCTCCACCAAGCCTGGCCCTTTCCTGTGCCTCTGGGTCAGCAGCCCCCCGTTCTCTGAGCACCCCTACTCTGGGCCCAGCCTGCAGCGCCCTCCCGTCTGGTTCCCTGGGGTGGGAGGGTCCTGAAGTCCCCCTGAGTGATTTTACCTTTGCTCCTGCTCACTGGCTCTTTTGAACATTGGGTTTTCAAACCCAGGTCCCCCTGAGGAGGCCAGGGTACTGCCTGCACCCTGTTCCAGGGTGGCAGTAAGGGAGGGCTCTTGGGATAGCTGAGTAAAGGCCATGGACAGGAGCCCAGGGTGCTGGGGACAGGGCACCTGTGGGGTCAGCAGGGAGGTGGTCCAGCTGAGGGGACAGCTGGCACTGAGCCCTGGGGCTCTCGGCGTGCAATGGAGAACAGGCAGGACAGAGTCCAGCAGAGGGGCCAGGAGGGGCAGGCATGGAGGGAGCTCCAGGTGGGATCAGTGAGTGTGGACATGGGGGAGCTGAGCCACGTGGTCCCATCTCAGCAGAGGATACAGCTCAGGGCACCAGGCCTTGTGGAGACGGGCCCTCCACAGGTGCCTCCTGCTCACATCATGTAGGTACCTTCCACCTGGATAAATTTTGCTGCCCCAGGGAAAGACCCTGGGGTCAGAGTGGACCTGGGATACATTACTCAGTCCTGGCAATGGTTGTAGAGGAGTGCAGGGGCCTGGGACCCTGAAGAGGGCACCCAGAGTCGTCCCCAGCAAGGTAGTTTCTTATGATGTCATTTTCTCTTTCTTTCCACAGGCCTCAGACCCAAGCCCAAAGCCAAGTGAGAGAGCCCTGGCCAGCCTGGGCACAGCAGCGGGCAGCTGGATGTAATGTTAGAAATGAATGAAGCTTTCCAGGGCCAGGCTGGGACTGAGCCCCTGAGAGTCAAACCTCCGTGCCTTGCCCAGCCAGGGCCTCCGGCAGCCTCCCTGGGTCGTCCTGGCTGGAACCCGCAGGCACCCATGCCCTGGGCCCGCCCTCTCCCCCTGGGCCTCTTGCACGCCCACCTGGTGATCTGCTCTTCAGCCACCACCCAGCCTTGCACCTGCATGTGCCACAGTGGGCTCCTCCCATCTGCCTGCATCGCCTCCACGGCCCTCGGGGGCTGGGCCCCTGTAGTGGGCATAGCGCCCCTGTCCAGCCTGCCACTGCTCAGCTGCTTTTTAACTGGAATGCTGTCCCCTGAGGCCTCACTGCTCCGAGGCAGCTGGCTTGGGGACGGTGAGGGGGCTCCAGGCCTAGGGTGAGGTGGGCCCTGCTGTGGGCAGGCCAAGGCCCCCTCCGTTTCTGGCCCCTGGTGGTAGGGAGGGGTCTGCCTATGGACACAGCCAGGCCTGCCAACCCTGCGCTGGGCTGGCCCCAAGGGATGGGGAGGGTCCACCTGCGCAGCCACATGGTGGATCTCAGCAGCTGCTGGGGGTCTCCTCAGTATCTGCCCTGTGAGGGGCAGCCCGGCCCTGCCTCCTCCCACCCCCAGGTGTGTGCTGAGGAGGCTGGAGGCCAGCAGGGACTCTGACCAATAAAAACCAAGCCTGGTCAGCTGTGACCTTGTGTTCCGAACCGTGGGCTGGGTGGAGGGGTACTTACGGTGCGCCCCATTGTCTGGCCTTCCCAACAGCTGGGGGGGGTGGCGGAAGGGAGAGAGGGGCAGGCAGATGGAGGAGTGGGTGGAATAGCAGGCGGGGCAGGGGGCGGTGAGCAAGGTCTCTGCCCTGTGGAAAGTGCAGCAGGAGGTGGAGCAGAGGGGGACAGGGCTCTCCCTGGTCCAGCCTGGAGTCTGCTACTCTCCAGGGCCTCCCTCAGGTGCCTCGCCCACTTATACCTGAGGGAATTTGGGGCCTGAGGGCAGGCACCCCCTCAGCACTCTTCCTGTGGAGAGTGGGCGGAGGGACAGAGGGAGGGGGTTTGAAGCAAACACCTTCCAGATTAAATTTTTTTTAAAATTAGGGGCCGGGCTGTTGGTCAGTGTCAGAGCACTTACCTAGCACACGTAAATAACTATGGTGGGCAGTCCCTGACCACAGCAGTGAGGCACTGGGTTCGATCCTCAGCACCACATAAAAATAAATAAATAAAATACAGACATTGTGTCCATCTACAGCTTAAAAATACATCAGTGCAGCAGCCAGCCATGGTGGCCCATACCTACAATCCCAGTGACCCAAGAGGCTGAGGCAGGAGGACTGCATGTTTGAGACCAGCCTGAGCAACTTAGCAAGACCCTATCTCAAAATAAAAACTAAAAAGTGTTGGGGAGGTAGCTCAGTCGTAAAGTGCCTCTGGGTTCAATTCCAAAAAAAACCAAGCAGGCCTGGCTGTGAGCTGCCCCGGTTGTCAGGTTTGCTGGGCCGGGGCCTGCAGAGCCAGCTGCACACTTGAGCAGCCATCGGGCCCGAGCACCTGCACCCAGGCCCCTCAGGTCTCCTGGTGAAGGGAGGCAGGCAGGGTGCCCTGTTGCAAGGCTCCTTCAAGCTGGGCCATGCCCACCCAGAAGGGAACAAGTCGCAGTGCCTCCCAAGCCACTGCCCAGGCCCTCACTTGGAGGCCTGCTGAGCCAGATTCAGCCCTCCCTGCCCCTTAGAGCAGCTGTTGTCCATCTGCCCTTTGCCCAGCCACCTGGGTTTAGCCAGTTTCTCCCAGAACTTCCCTGGGCACTGTCCAGAGAGCCTGTCCAACACGGGCAGGCCACCACTACCTTGAGATTGGTGCTAGACTTCTGCTTTCCTTGAGGGCACATGGCGGTTCTCCTCGATGGCCAGCAGCAGCCCTCTCTGCTTCATGGAAACGTGCATTGACATGTTCACTCCAGAGCAGCTGTGAGGGCCTGGGGGCCCTGGGGGAGTGGGAAAGCAGGCCTGCCTGCTCCCCCATGGCACAGGACAAGGCCCCCAGGTGGTGGGCAGTCCCTGACCACAGCATGAGCCAGGCATGACTTGCATACTGCATACTGTGCCCACTGTGAGCACTGGCCGTCTACAGGACCATGAAGCCACCACCAGCAGGCCTGGGGTGCTTCTGGAGAGCCCAGCTTTCCCATGAGCAGGCCCCACCGGCTTCCTATGCCCATGGGTTTGCCTCTGCTGGACATTTGTGTGAGGGAGGTTGGACATGACCTTCTGTGGCTGGCCTGTTGCCTGTTTCCGAGGTTCACTGTGCCATGGTGCAGGCACGTCGCAGTCCCTGGCTGCCTTGTTCTAGGCTCCAGACCGCGTGCCTGGTCTCCACCCATCCGTCACTTTTGTGAAGGACGCAGCTTGGCACGCTGTCCTTGTGTGGGCTGTTTTCTCTGCTCGGAGGTACATCCCAGGGAAGAGCAGCTGGATTTCACTTTTTAAGAAATGGCGAGCTGTCTTGGGAAGCGGCTGTGTCTTCCACTCCCGCTTGCGCTGTAGTTTTTAGAGAGCTCGACTCCTCCCTCCCTCTGTCCCCCACAAACTTCCAAAGGTGCCAAGTATTGGACTGTGTGCCCTGTGGGGACCCCACCCTCCTCCTTACAGGGGCAGGGCGGCCGTGGCCCACAGTGAGGCGCCTCCAGGGCCCTGTCCTCACTGCCCTCCCCCCACATCAGCTGAGCGGGTTACAACCAGGGTGAACACCAACCCAGTGGGAGCTGGGTCCTTGCCTCAGAGCCAGTTCATGGATGCTGTGTAGGTGCAAGCATCTTTGTGTGTCCTGGCCACCATCTGTGACATCGTTCCGTGGTGGCCCTTGGGCCCACAATGTGGTGTTGAGGCCACTTGTCTGAGGTGCACAGCTTCAAGGCTGGGAGTCCCCGGCTTTGGGATTGCTGTGGTGCCCACTGTGGTGACAGGCCTGCTGGGGGTGGGGGGGTGTTCTAATTTGGGAAGGGCCATGTGACTGTCAGAGCCTCAGCTGTGGGGCCTGGACAGGGCTGTTTTTAGAAAAGCCCTGCCCCCCATTCAGGCCCATGGCTATTTATAGTCTCAGGCCTGGGGGAATCAGTGCCCCAGGCCAGCTTTTGCCCTGAACTGCCTGTTTAAGCCCCCATGATAGGGCCATCAGGGTGGCTCTTGATTCCTCCAAATCTTGACTCACACCTACTGACCCTGAGCCCAGGGTCTCCCCAGTGAGGAGAGCTAGTGCCCCAGTGGGACAAGGGCAAGCACCCTTTGTCTAATGTGCGTTTAAATTGGGCATTCACAGGCCCAATTCCTCTCTCCTGGACACAAAGCCCTGGCAAGTGACCCCGGTTTCCCCTGATAAGGCTCTGTCCTTCCTGTCTGCTGCACCCCCAGCTGCACCCCAGCCACAGTGCAAGGTGGGTCAGCCTGCAAGGTGGGTCAGCCTCCCTGGAGGGGCCCTCTGCCCCGCCTCACCACTGCCCTGGGCTGGAGCAAGGCCAGGACATGCGGTCTATGTGGAAAGGCTCAGCTCTCTCCTGGGAATGTGGTCTCCCAGTTCCAGGCCCCCTGACTGCTGCAACCCCAGGAGGCATTCTCACCAGAGCAACCCAGGGACAGGGAGTGTCCAGAGGGACCTGCCCCGGCAGGAGCAGGGCAAGGGCAGCTGGTGCAGTCTATGTGGCTGGGAACAGGCTGAGGGTCGGGGCTAGGTCTCCAGGGGGGAGGGGAAGAAGAGCGTGGAGAGGCCACAGGAGGAGGAAGGCAGGGGCTGCAGCACTCTCCTATTCTGGGACAAGCCAAGGGTCCACATCCTTCCTCATGGACATTGTCCAGTCACCCTGGACTCCTTGCCATGGACCTGAGAGCCACCTCAGGAGCCCAAGGCCCCTGGCAGCTCTGTGAGCCACATCCACAAGTGAGCCAGTCAGCTTCGGGCCCTTTTGCACAGGGAGCCCCCAGGGAGAGAAGGAAGGCAGTGTCTCCCAGGCTTGGGCCCTTTCGAGGCCCCCTCTCCAGCTCTGGGCTAGCCTCCTCCAGGCCTACAGTCACAGGCCAGCCCTCCAAGCTAGGTCCACCTGGAGCCAGGTGGAGGGGTGTGAGCAGTGCACCCAACCGGGCGCACAGGCGCCAGCAGACCGTGGCCAACGCTCTGGGCCCTCAGTCCCTCCTCTGGGAAAGGAGGGAGGTCTGGTCTGGGGGCTCCTGGAAACCTAGGCCCTACCTTGACGTGGTGCACATCAGGGAACCCTGACAGCGTGGTCCCTCTACCCCAAATTTGGCTACTGAGGGCTGGGTGCTGCAGCCATCTGCACGCTACAGCCAGACCCAGCGCAACAGTGCCCCGGGCGGGTACAGTGCATAGAGAGAGGGCGCC